TTAGAATTTTCAAATAAAAACATTATTTTAAAAAATTTGTTAGTGTTTTAATTGCTTTTTATTTATTTTAGTTCTGTTATTATATATATTATAAATGTGATTTATGTAGAAGTATTATTAATTATTAAGTTTCATTTATTTTTTTTTTATACTATTTTTTTCATGTTGTATTGACTGCGTTTTTTTTATTTTTCTTCTGGTGGTGTTTTATTAAATATGTGTTGAGTTCAATTTTATTTTATTCCAATACTTAACAAACAATGCAAATAACATTTTTTTTAATATATTAATTCAATTTAATTTGTATTATAGTTTTGCTATTACATATGTTATATTTATTTATTTTTTTAGTTTATAATTTCTTTTAAAACAATATAACTTTATTACCGCGCATATTTGAGTTTTCTTTGTTTTTCTCTATTTTAAATTTAAATTTGATGTATAATAGTTAATAGGTTTCAAATGATGTATAAACACATTTATAGTATATAATATGCTCCTATATGGTTTTTTTTTGTTAGTACTTTGTAATTTATAATACTCGTATGCTTTTATAAATATTTTTTTGGGTGTATTTTTATTTAAATCTGCTTTTAAATTAATTTTCTTTTAATTATAAAACTAAACTTCAAAATTTTATTTTTTTGGCTAAGTAAAAATATTTTATTTTATATATTTAATTTTCTTTTATAAATATACAAAGATATACATTTATATATATATTTTTTAATTAAATATATAGTGGCTATACTATATATTTAATTTATTATAATTACGAGTATTTTTAGCAGTTTTCATTTCTTTTATATCGAAATCTTTTAAATTACACATTCAGTAAAAGTAAATATGCATTTAAAAAAATTTTTGTTTTCTTTTTTACTTTTAAATAATTAAAATTTGTTTGTAAATAGACATTTAGTTAATAAGAATGAAACATTTATTAAAAATATTTAAAAAAAGTATAGTTTATATATTTATGTAAATTTTTCAAGTTTTTAGTTTTATTTTTTTTTTTTAATTTAGAGTTTAATTTGATTATAAATTATATAAATGGGAAGAAATTCCGTGTAATAAAGGTTAATAGGGGGGTGATACTTGTCAAGCAATAGGTTTTCGATGATATTTGGTCATGATTATTAAGACGAGAATATTTTTAAATTATAAGAATCCTATCGGCCCTATACAAACGTATAGAAAACGATGGGGTTCATTTCAACATTAAAATACATTGTTTTTATTTCGCAGGGCTTAGAGAAGTTTAGAAGAAGTTTGTCTGCTGATCGATATTGAATTTCAAAATTTCTTTTGGAATCTGTAAAAAGACGAATTGCTTCCAATTAAAACATCAAATTTGAACTGTGCTTAATAGTTTAACCTTTGATAATCCAGTGACTTGGAAATGTTAAACTATTTTAAAGCAATTAACCTCAAATCAAATTTTCAAAAAATGTCAACGATTTGAAATCGTTCTAACTACATTTATTTTATGTTTGTTAGATCGTTTATAGAATATATACTATCCGACTGCTCTTAAGAAGTTTTTGCAAAAGCTTGAAAAAAAGTCGAACAATGTACGTCACATATTGCTGTGATTCAGTCCACTTATGTGGATGCTATCGTTTAAAGTAGAATTTGATTATTGATCAAATCAGATGTAGTAGTTTTTACAAAAGCTTGAAAACAAGTCCACTTATGTGGATGCTATAGTTTAAACTACAATTTGGTTATTGATCAAATTAGATGATTTTGGATTTAATTGGCGATTAAAAAAGTCTTTGAAAGCGTCTATAGTTTTGTTATTTTAGACTCTATAATTAAATGGATTACGAAAGTTCCATTAACTGTTAAAATGTGTCAAAAATGTTCTCTAAAACTACATTCAATACTTACATATTAATCTACAGAATATCTTACAAGTCAGTTATTTATTAAGGACTATAATTCTGCAGATTATAGTTGC